CTTAATTTGTGACTTTGTGACTTTGTGTCATTGTTTTATCCTTATTTTTATTTAATTTTTTAAAATTACAAACTTAAGTTATTTAAATTACAAGTTATAAATATAACTTATAAGTTATAACATATTAATAAGTAATAACTTATAAACTTCAAAAGATTCAAATCTTGAAAACTTAAGCTCAAAAACATTTTTTTTTAAACTTTATTAAACTTAACTTGCATACTTCAAAAGATTCAAATATTTAAAACTAAGCTCAAAAACATTTTTTTCAAATGATTCAAATCTTGAAAACTTAAGCACAAAAACATTTTTTTTTAAAATTTTTTTTTATTAAACTTAACTTGCAAACTTAATAAGTAAAAATTAAAAAAAAATATCTTTAAAATAAACTTAAGTAAAATTACATTATAAATTTCAAAACTATTAATTTAATTTTTAAACTTAGAAAAAATAAAAAAACATTCATATTTTCGTATTTCAAAAAATTAAAATAGTTGATTTTTTTTTATCATTTTTAGAAATATCTAGATGTGTCGTCACGTTTATCCCATCTCGTTCCATTCCGGTCCGTTCCGGTTCCATCCTGGTATATAGTGGGACGGGACGGAACCAAGCATCCGTCCCGGTAATTCCGGTCCGGTTCATCCCGGTACCGGTCAATAAACCGGTCAACCTATCCCGTTCCGGTCCGGTACCGGTTCATTCCGGTCCGGTGGTTCCGTTTCGGTCCGGCGCCCAGTCTTATTAAAGGATTAAAAATAGACACGAACAATGGTCCTCTCATTCTTACATAAAACATCAACAAAATGATTACTAATCCAGAAGCCACTACCCCCTACAAAAACAAAAAAAAAGGCATTTATATAAAGTCGAATATTTCTATAACATCATCGTTTGTCTGAATATTTTTTGGCCACTATAGAGAAATGTTATTATAGAAAACATACAACATAACATAACATATTGCATAAAGTACTGCAAACAGCCTAAGGTTCCATACTAATTTCCATTGGGTCCAATCTCTTTCAGTAGAAATGGCATAAACTCCAGCTTGAAGTGCTCCCATAATGGACATTAAGGCAGTGCTAGAAAAATGGCAAGAGTACAACTCACTCATCTTGGCCTAAACATTGAACACATTAGCAAATAAGACTAATAAGAGCATATTTGGACCTATATATATATTAACGGAGTATTTGATCCAACTTAATTTAAAGTTTTAACCATAGTTATGCAATAATTTGTGGAGTTGCACTTAAGAAATAATTTAGTTAAAATGTGGTGAGTTTTCTCATCAATTTAAGGTGTCTTAGAAGCACATTATGAGCAACTTTTAAACAAGCTAAGTTACTGTATCATAATATATAATTTAAATTATAAATGCTAGGTGAGGACATAATAACTATAATATCAAAAATAAATAAAAAATATTATTATGTTGTGATTTGAAACATATATTGATTTACTACTTTAGAGATTATGTACATTTCATATATTATGCATGCAACTTTAAGTTTAATTGACCTGTGATTAGCTAGTCAATGTAATGATATTTACATTTTATTCATCAATACAAATAAAATCCTATCACTGTGAAACCAAAAGTAATTACTACAATTTAACTAAATTACTTCATAAATGCAATTTCATATGGTACTGCATAGTTATATTCAGAAACTAAATTGGATAAAAAATGTTAAAGTTTTGTGTGAAACTAAAGCCATTTTTGGCCATATTAAGTAATCTAATGGATTTTGCATATTTTTAAAAAAATGACAAAAATAAGGACAAGTTATTGTTTGAATATTACCTGAAAAATGAGGGACAATGCTAAGGAAAAGCAACTACATATAGCCAAAATAGAACCCAAAATGTGAGCATACTGTTTTTGGTTTGGCTGAGAGGCTGCCACGTGCCCTTTAAAGTCAAGTTTAATTGACCAAGTTTTAATTTCCAAGCCTTTGTAAAAAGTGAAAAGCATAGCCCCACCAATTCCAATTAATGTTCCCAACACTTTTGCTTGTCCTGCCCTTGTCTTCAAATTCAACTTCTCCAACCTAATCAAATAAGTCCAAATCAACTATTTTAGTGAGAATTTGTTTCCTTGACGCACTTTCCAATAAGTTAGGTCGATGGTAAATTATGAGTGGAATAATCATGCTTTTTAAAGTAAAAAAAAACATTTATTTCTATTAGTGCCTCCAAAACAACTTTTTATTTCTATTAGTGCATAGCACGTGCATTTTATGCGATTTGGCTAACATTACTAAATTATTATTCAACGAGGGTATAGTTTCATTTAATTACTATATGTGACTACAGTTTTATAATTTTTGCCATTAATTAGGGGACTCACGCTTACCTTGTATATCGAATCAATAAAATTATTTTCGGCCTTTGTATATGCTTTTATACAAACTCAATTTTATCTCTCTTTTCTCCATTCCATAATTCTCTTCTAAAATCATTCACTGATGCACATTCAATTTGAATTTTGAAATTCACTATCCCTCCTAATCGTGATTTCACTTTTGTAGGTAACCGTATAAATCGTGTCTCAACTTTTTTTGGCTTTTCCGTTTTTTTTACCCTCCCTAGGAGCTCCCACCCCTTTTGTTCCCTTGGTGACTCGAACTCGCAACCTTCAAGTTGGAAGTGAGGGGTGCTTACTATCCGAGCAACTCCCTCTTTTCTTTTCTTTTTCTGCCATAGGCAACTTTTCACTATAGGATAATCAAGCATCTCACTTAGAAGACAATTTATTAAGAAAAATGTCCGCATTTCATCATTAAATAGTTCATATGTCTGCATTTAGATCAATTATTATCTATATTGTATGATCAATCAGTTGATCAGCATCTTCATTTAGTTTGTTGGTGCCTCAATCTTCATCTTTATCATCATGTTGATTAACGCCTCCATCGTTATCATGATCATCTGCCCCTCCACCGTGATCATGATGGTGCTCATTAGAACCTCCATTGTTATCATGATCCTATTCATATGCCCCTCCACCTTGATCATGATCGTGCTTATTAGCACCTCCACCATCTTCTACATACTCTTCATCTTCTTTATCTTGATCGTTCTGATTAGCACCTCTATCGTTATCATGATCCTGTTCATCTGCCCCTCCACCTTGATCATGATCGTGCTCATTAGCACCTCCATCATCTTCTTCATACTCTTCATCTTCTTCAATATACATCAGCTTATTATTCGAATCAACAAGTTCGAGCGCTTTTTCGTTTGTATATCTTATGCTTATTATTTTAGGGTAATTTTTCTCAAAAATCTCTCATCGTTCCTTTGATTTTTAGTTTTTTTCAAAAAAAAAGGATGATGAAACTCCATCAAAGAGGATTACGAGAGGCTTGTCATTGCATTACCAAGTTGTTGATAATCGACTTTTGTTTTCACTTGAGGAGTCGCGTGTCTTGTCCTAACACTCATCTTTGTACTATATATATATATATATGTATATATTAGATATAAAATGCACGTGTTATGCACGGGCCCAACGTGTATCATTATGTAAGAACAATTACGACTTTTCTCTTTTATTGTTTGATTATCATAAAACTATAAAATGCACGTGCTATGTATATTTCATATATTATGCATGCAACTTTGGGTTTAGTTGACATGTGATTAGCTAGTTAATGTAATGATATTTACATTTTAATCATCAATACAAATGAAATCCTATCCATGTGAAACCAAAAGAAATTACAACAATTTAACTAAATTACTTCATAAATGCAATTTCATTTGGTACTGCATGGTTATATTCAGAAACTAAATTGGATCAAATATGTTAAAGTTTTGTGTGAAAATAAAGCCATTTTCGGCCATATTAAGTAATCTAATGGATTTTGCATATTTTTTAAAAAAAATAAGGAAAAGTTTATAATTAATTGAATATTACCTGAAAAATGAGGGATAATGCTAAGGAAAAGCAACTACATATAGCCAAAATAGAACCCAAAATGTGAGCATATGGTTTTTGGTTTTGCTGAGAGGCTGCGACGTGCCCTTTAAAGTAAAGTTTAATAGACCATGTTTTAATTTCCAAGCCTTTGTAAAAAGTGAGAAGCATAGCCCCACCAATTCCAATTAATGCTCCCAACACTTTAGCTTGTCCTGCCCTTGTCTTCAAATTCAACTTCTCCAACCTAATCGAATAAGTCCAAATCAACTATTTTAGTGAGAATTTGTTTCCTTGATATACTTTCCAGCGAGTTAGGTCGATGGTAAATTATGAGTGTAATAATCATGTTTTTCAAAGTAAAAAAAACATATATTTCTATTAGTGCCTCCAAAACAACTTTTTATTTCTATTAGTGCATAGCACGTGCATTTTATGCGTTTTCGCAAACATTACTAAATTATTATTCAATGAGGGTATAGTTTCATTTAATTACTATATGTGACTACAGTTTTATAATTCTTGCCATTAATTATGGGACTTACGCTTACCTTGTATACCGAATCAATAAAATTATTTTCGGCCTTGGTAGATGCTTTTATACAAACTCAATTTTATCTCTCCTTTATTCATTCCCTAATTCTCTTCTAAAATCATTCATTGATGCACATTCAATTTGTATTTTGAAATTCACTATCCCTCCTAATCATGATTTCACTTTTGTAGGTAACTACATAAATCGTGTCTCAATTTTTTTGGATTTTTCATTTATATTTTTACCCTCCCTAGGAGCTCCCACCCCTTTTGTTCCCTTGGTGACTCGAACTCGCAACCTTCAGGTTGGAAGTGAGGGGTGCTTACTATCCGAGCAACTCCCTCTTTTCTTTTCTTTTTCTGCCATAGGCAACTTTTCACTCTAGGATAATCAACCTTATCACTTAGAAGACAATTTATTAAGAAAAATGTCCGCATTTCATCATTAAATAGTTCGTATGTCTGCATTTAGATAAACTATTATCTATATTGTATGATCAACCAGTTGATCAGCATCTTCATTTAGTTTGTTGGTGCCTCAATCTTCATCTTTATCATCATGTTCATTAATGCCTCCATCGTTGTCAAGTTCATCTGCCCCTCCACCTTGATCATGATGGTGCTCATTAGCACCTCCATCGTTATCATGATCCTGTTCATCTTCCTCTCCACCTTGATCATGATCGTGCTCATTAGCACCTCTGCCATCTTCTACATACTCTTCATCTTCTTTATCTTGATCGTTCTGATTAGCACCTCTATCGTTATCATGGTCATGTTCATCTGCCCCTCCACTTTGATCATTATCGTGCTCATTAGCACCTCAATCATCTTTTTCATACTCTTTATCTTCTTCAATATACATCAACTTATTATTCGAATCAACAAGTTCGAGCGCTTTTTCGTTTGTATGTCTTATGCTTAATATTTTTGGGTAAATTTTCTTAAAAATCTCTCATTGTTCCTTTGATTTTTAGTCTTTTTCAAAAAAATGGATGATGAAACTCCATCTAAGAAGATTACAAGAGGCTTGTCATTGCATTACCAAGTTGTTGATAATCGACCTTTGTTTTCACTTGAGGAGTCGTGTGTCGTGTCCTAACACTCATATTTGTACTATATATATATATATATATATATACTAGATATAACATGCACGTGTCATGCACGGGCCCAACGTGTATCATTCTGTAAGAACAATTATGACTTTTCTCTTTTATAGTTTGATTATCATAAAACTATAAAATGCACGTGCTATGTACAGTTCATATATTATGCATGCAACTTTGGGTTTAGTTGACCTGTGATTAGCTGGTTAATGTAATGATATTTACATTTTAATCATTAATACAAATGAAATCCTATCCATGTGAAACCAAAAGAAATTACAACAATTTAACTAAATTACTTCATAAATGCAATTTCATATGGTACTGCATGGTTATATTCAGAAACTAAATTAGATCATACATGTTAAAGTTTTGTGTGAAAATAAAGCCATTTTGGCCATATTAAGTAATCTAATGGATTTTGCATATTTTTTTAAAATATAAGGAAAGTTTATAATAAGTTGAATATTACCTAAAAAATGAGGGATAATGCTAAGGAAAAGCAACTACAAATAGCTGAAATAGAACCCAAACTGAGAGCAGATGGTTTTTGGTTTTGCTGAGAGTCTGCCACGTGCCCTTTAAAGTCAAGTTTGATTGAACAAGTTTTAATTTTCAAGCCTTTGTAAAAAGTTAGAAGCATAGCCCCACCAATTTCAATTAATGTTCCCAACACTTTTGCTTGTCCTGCCCTTGTCTTCAAATTCAACTTCTCCAACCTAATCAAATAAGTCCAAATCAACTATTTTAGTGAGAATTTGTTTCCTTGACGCACTTTCCAGTGAGTTATGTCGATGGTAAATTATGAGCGGAATAATCATGTTTTTCAAAGTAAAGAAAACATTTATTTCTATTAGTGCCTCCAAAAACAACTTTTTATTTCTATTAGTGCATAGCACGTTCATTTTATGAGATTTGGCTAACATTACTAAATTATTATTCAACGAGGGTATAGTTTCATTTAATTACTATATGTGACTACAATTTTATAAATTTTGCCATTAATCATGGGACTTGTGCTTACCTTGTATACCGAATCAATAAAATTATTCTCGGCCTTTGTATATGCTTTTATACAAACTCAATTTTATCTCTCCTTTCTTCATTCCCTAATTCTCTTCTAAAATCATTCACTGATGCACATTCAATTTGAATTTTGAAATTCACTATCCCTCCTAATCGTGATTTCACTTTTTAGGTAAACCGCATAAATCGTGTCTCAACTCTTTTTGGATTTTTTTGTTTTTTTTACCCTCCCTAGGAGCTCCCACCCCTTTTGCTCCATTGGTGACTCGAACTCACAACCTTCGGGTTGGAAGTGAGGGGTGCTTACTATCCGAGAAACTCCCTCTCGTCTTTTTTTTTCTGCCATAGGCAACTTTTCACTACAGGATAATCAAGCATATCACTTAGAAGACAATTTATTAAGAAAAATGTCTGCATTTAGATCAACTATTATCTATATTGTATGATCAACCAGTTGATCAACATCTTCATTTAGTTTGTTGGTGCCTCAATCTTCATCTTTATCATCATGTTCATTAATGCCTCCATCGTTATCTTGATCATCTGCCCCTCCACCGTGATCATGATGGTGCTCATTAGAATCTCCATCGTTATCATGATCCTATTCATATGCCCCTCCACCTTGATCATGATCGTGCTTATTAGCACCTCCACCATCTTCTACATACTTTTCATCTTCTTTATCTTGATCGTTCTGATTAGCACCTTTATCGTTATCATGATCCTGTTCATCTGCCCCTCCACCTTGATCATGATCGTGCTCATTAGCACCTCCATCATCTTCTTCATACTCTTCATCTTCTTAAATATACATCAGCTTATTATTCGAATCAACAAGTTTGAGCGCTTTGTCGTTTGTATATGTCTCTGGTTATTATTTTTGGGTAATTTTTCTCAAAAATCTCTCATCGTTCCTTTGATTTTTAGTCTTTTTCAAAAAAAAAATTGATGATAAAACTCCATCTAAGAGGATTACGAGAGGCATGTCATTGCATTTCGAAGTTGTTGATAATTAACCTTTGTTTTCACTTGAGGAGTCGCGTGTCTTGTCCTAACACTCATCTTTGTACTATATATATATATATATATATATACACATATATATACTAGATATAAAATGCACTTGTTATGCACGGGCCCAACGTGTATCATTCTGTAAGAACAATTACGACTTTTCTCTTTTATAGTTTGATTAGCATAAAACTATAAAATGCACGTGCTATGTAAATTTCATATATTATGCATGCAACTTTGGGTTTAGTTGACCTGTGATTAGTTAGTTAATGTAATGATATTTACATTTTAATCATCAATACAAATGAAATCCTATCCATGTGAAACCCAAAGAAATTACTACAATTTAACTAAATTACTTCATAAATGCAATTTCATATGGTACTGCATAGTTATAATTAGAAACTAAATTGGATCAAATATATTAAAGTTTTGTGTGAAAATAAAGACATTTTTGGCCATATTAAGTAATCTAATGGATTTTGCATATTTTTTAAAAAAAATAAGGAAAAGTTTATAATTAATTGAATATTACCTGAAAAATGAGGGATAATGCTAAGGAAAAGCAACTACAAATAGCCAAAATAGAACCCAAAATGTGAGCATCTCGTTTTTGGTTTTGCTGAGAGGCTGCCACGTGTCCTTTAAAGTCAAGTTTGATTGACCAAGTTTTAATTTTCAAGCCTTTGTAAAAAGTGAGAAGCATAGCCCCACTTATTCCAATTAATGTTCCTAACACTTTTGCTTGTCCTGCCCTTGTCTTCAAATTCAACTTCTCCAACCTAATCGAATAAGTCCAAATCAACTATTTTAGTGAGAATTTGTTTCCGGAATCATGATAAGATATTATGAGATGATATCATAATATGGAATTGTGAGATGAAATTAAAGATTTGTTTGGACATGTGATGTGGAATTTTTGTGTTGTATATTTTCTCATAAACATAAGAATACCATAATTTGTAAAACTATTAAAATAGCCCCAATTGTTTATTCAATCTTACCAAATAAACAAAAAAATTATAGAATTGAATAATAAATTATTACATAGCTATTTGTTCTCCACTTAAGTAACTGTTTCATCTAACTTTAATTCATCAAACTTTAATTCAATAAAAAAAATTGAATAAACATATTACCTGAAAAATGAGGGATAATGCTAAGGAAAAGCAACTACATATAGCCAAAATAGAACCCAAAATGTGAGCATCTCGTTTTTGGTTTTGCTGAGAGGCTGCCACGTGTCCTTTAAAGTCAAGTTTGATTGACCAAGTTTTAATTTTCAAGCCTTTGTAAAAAGTGAGAAGCATAGCCCCACTTATTCCAATTAATGTTCCTAACACTTTTGCTTGTCCTGCCCTTGTCTTCAAATTCAACTTCTCCAACCTAATCAAATCAGTCCTAATCAACTTTTGAATATAGCCAAAAGTATACCCGTTTGGTCATGCGATATGGTATCATGATATGGAATCATGATAAGATATTATGAGATGATATCATAATATGGAATTGTGAATGAAATTAAAGATTTGTTTGGACATGCGATGTGGAATTTTTGTGTTGTATATTTTCTCATAAACATAAGAATACCATAATTTGTAAAACTATTAAAATAGCCCCAATTGTTTATTCAATCTTACCAAATAAACAAAAAAATTATAGAATTGAATAATAAATTATTACATAGCTATTTGTTCTCCACTTAAGTAACTGTTTCATCTAACTTTAATTCATCAAACTTTAATTCAATAAAAAAAATTGAA